TGCATCCTCACCAACATTTGTTGTCATTTGTGTCCTTAATGATAGCCAGTTTTTGTGGTACTGGGGTTTGAACTCATGTCCTCCCACTTGCTAGGCAGGTACTCTACTATGTGAGCCACTCCACCAGCTCTTTTTTTGTGATGGTTTTGTTTTGTTTTATTTTGTTTTTTCCAAGATAGAGTCTTATGAACTATTTGCCTGGGCAGGTTTTGAACTGCGATCCACCTGATCTCTGTCTTTCTGAGTAGCTAGGATTACAGGCATGAGCCACCAATGCCTGACTGGTATCACTCAGTCAATCTAATAGGAGGAAGATGGACTCTTACTGTGGTTTTGATTTGCATCTCCTATATGGCCAGGATGGTGAGCATTTCTTCATGTGTTTTCAGCCATTTGGACTTCTTCCTTTGAAAAAGCTACATTCAGTTCATTTACCTGTTTCTTCACTGGAGTTCAGTTTTTTGAAGAAGGAAGGAATGAAAAGAAGAACCACAGAAACACAAAAAGTAAACACACAAAAGAATTTTGTTGTCCTCCTATTGCCTAATGAAGTCCAGTTTTCTTACCCTAAATTCAAAACTTTTCTTGACTTAACACACCTTGATAACAGTGGCTTGACATACCACTTCCCCCTGAATATATTTCTAGGCAATGTATTCCTTCCTCTCCCCACCCCCCAAAGACCTTGGACTTAGCTCTCCTGACTCTTAGCCATATCACCCCTTTACTGGAACAATCTTCTCCCATATTTTTGCCCATTTGTATTTATTCAAAGAACAGTTGCAGTGTCATTATCATGGTACTGAGCTCTGTGTTTTATTCATTCATTTATGCATTCAGACATTTATCAAGTGCTTGTTTTGTGTCATGAAACACTATGCTTGGTTCTGGGTACATGACCAGAACAAGACAATCTTCAGAATGCTTAGAGTAGTCTATAGAAGACACATGTCCATAGTTATAGGTAAAGACCAAAATGGTGTGTGTGTATGTGTGTGTGTGAGTGTTCATGTGCACACCTGAAAAGAATTAAAAGTAAAGTACTGTAAATGTGTTAAGGAAAAGACAACTTCCTAGGAGAAGAGAATTAGGACTCTTACATACTGTTCTAAAATGATTTTGTAACATACAATGTGATAAATATATAATGATCTTTTTTTTAAAAGGAAGAAAACATGTATGTTTAAAGATAATGACCAGGAAAACTATTCTTAAGTAAGACAAAATGAGAGGGAAAATTATCATTTGGAGACGAATTTCAAATATATATATTAGATGGACTAGATTGCATGTTTTCTGGTACACTGCAGAGAAAAAAATCACATTTACTGAAGAAATTATAAATAGAACTGTCAAAAATAAAAGTAATTATGGTATAAAACATTTTTATTTCTTATTTGTTTGGTCTGACTACCTATGGAGTGTTACAGTTGAAGTTTTAGACATCAGAAAAAAAAATTTGTCTGGAAAGGATAAGTTAAAGTTAGATAGTTAAAACAGCCCTCCCAGAAATATGTAGGACAGAACACATACTTCTTAGAAATTGTCATATCCTTTCATGAAATAAACATCTATTAATTAGTGAAATAAACATAAATATGCAATTTTGTGTGTATAATTTTATTTGCTACAGGGGAAAAAAAAGAACCCCAAATGCTCCCAAATAGAAGATATATCAATTATTATGCAGTGGCATGTATTGTATGCCTAGTGCTGAAGTGAGTGGGCTCACAGACCACATGGACTTGAATTCCAACTTTGCACTTATGAACTGGCAGAGTGGTTCAAGTGGTAGAGTGCCTGCCTAGCAAGCATAAGGCCCTGAGTTCAAACCTCACTACCACCAAAACCAAAAACAAATCAACAACTTTGCACTTACAAGTCATAGGAATGGGGTAAGTGACTTAACCCCCTGTGCCTCAGTATCTCCATCTTCAAAACGCAGTTAATAATACCACCTACCTTATAGGACTGTCATGGTGATTAAATGACAGCGGGGATGGACACACAGTCAGTATTTAGTATTAGTCATTATAATAAAATATTATACAAATTACTAAAAATAGTATTCACTAGTAGAATTCCTTAGATCATGGTGCTTTGTTTAAAATATATTGTTTGGTTTAAAAAATCAGAAGACAAAACATGCAGCAGAAAAAAATCCCTAAATTAAGGGATGTGTATGTGACTTATATACAAATGCTGGAAGTGTATATTACCAGGAGTTATCTCTGTGTAGTGACATTGTGGGTGGCCTTGCTCCTCTATTTGTTCAGTTCTGTAATTTCAAAGTTTCCTCTAGTTTACATATGGTATATTCATAATATGACAATACAAATTAATTACTTTTAAAATTACTTTTGTATTTACACGCTCAGTTCCAAAAGAAGAAATTTTTTATGATACCCAAAGTTTTGGGCCTGAAGAACTCCTGAACACGTAATTAAATAATTATCATAAAATAAGTGTTCTATTACTGGAAAAATTTGTATCTTTGATTTATAAGAAGCTATGTTGAATGTCTGAACATTAAGCACTACTGTGGCACACTGGATATTTTAGTTAGAATCAAGTTATCTAAGAAGAGCCTGCAAATTGGTTTACATGACCTCCTAAGTCACTGAATTTAAAGCAAATATACTACAGACAAGTAAATCAGTGGATTAGGTATCAATGGACTTCTGATTTACTGAGCCCTGCTGGGGTTTGAACTCAGGGCCTCTTGCTTGCTAGGCAGGTGCTCTACCACTTGAGCCAATTCACAGCCACCCCTTTCATTCTTCCTCAATTTTGCCCGTAGGGCCAGCCTCAGACTGTGATCCTCCTGATTGCTACCTCCCAAGTAGCTGGGATTACAGTTGTGAGCCCCTCATCCAGCCAGCTTTGGACTTTTTACTAAATAGGGTCAAAGAATGAGGAGTCTTTTCTAGAGTTTAGCAATAAAATTTCTTTTTCCCAAATTAGTCAGAAGCATTCAGGAATTTCTTTCTCATGGAATTTTAAATAAAGATTTTTTTCACATTGCACCTCATCCCACTGCAAATTTTGAGGTTTGTAAGGCTAGAAGCAAGTTTATCCCACTATTTTTTTTTTTGTGGGATTGAGGTTTGAACTCAGGGCTTCATGCTCACAAAGCCAGTGCTCTACCGCTTGAGCCACACCCCCAATCCATTTTGCTCTGGTTATTTTGGAGATGGAATCTCACAAACTATTTGCCAAGGCGGGCCTCAAACTGAGATTCTCCCAATCTCAGCCTCTCAAGTAGGTAGGATGACAGGTGTGAGGCACCATCACCCAGTTAGCTTATCCCAATTTAATGGTGCTTCTTGCTATTTTTTTATTATAAACTCAAGTGAGTGAATTGATGCTTTGTGCCTCAAGAAGTAAATTAACAATGATTAAGAATGAATGCCTGAGACACTGACAAAAGCAGTCTTTCCCAGAACATTCCATTTGAGTCAAGATGCCTCTCACATGTGGGACCCACACAGCTGTTACAATCAGCAGGGTGCTATCAACCCACCGAATGTGTTGAATTAGAGTTTTTACATCTACTCTCTGTTACCAGGAAGATTTGTTCCAAATAACCTCCTGAATTTTAAGTATTTTAAGCAAGAGCATTCCTCTTTCTTCCCCAAATCTATTTACCAGAACTTAAAGCTTTGGAAAAATTTTAAAAATGACAAGTAGAACACAGCTGACAGAAGACAATATCCAACAAACAGGTTTAGCAGAGGCCCCAGGGGTTTACAACAGTTGAAGTCTAGGTGATGGAACAGGAATACAAAAAACCTATTTGGATGACAATTTATGAAAAATCTTTCCCCTTACCTTTCTTTTGAAAGTAATCCGTGGGCACCCAAGCAAAACAATTCTGAGACACAACCAGGACACCTCAACCTTTAAAAGTCGTGCTTCTTAATCTTTTCATTACTATTTGGCAAACAAAGCAAAATTAAGCAAACAAAATAAGCCATAAGTATGTGAAAAATATATCCACAATGGCTGAATTTAATAAAAAGAAAGTCCCTGAAAATACACTATTATATGTCATTTAAGGAATCAAATTCCAACCTGAGAACCAAAATAGTTTTCATTCATTCATTCATCGAAGCCCTACTACATAGTATGCACTTTATTAAGCCCTGGTAACTCAGGAGTGAACAGATAGTTCAAGAACTTGTCTTCAGGGACTTAGAGAAAGACAAATGAATAAACAATTTGTATAACTTCAGGTATAAGTACTGTGATGATAATTTATAAGTGATCATTTAATTTTTTGCCTTCATGTGTTTGGGGGATCTGTACTCTTAATATCTAATGCTCCCTGCCCCTTTCATTGGAATCACAAGTACAAGTGACCCAGTAGTATCCAAGAAAGTTCTGTGAGGCTGTGTTAATTTTCTGTGGTTGGTGTAACAAATTAGCACAAATTTAGTGATCTTATGGTTTCTGCGGGTCAAAAGTCTAGGTGGTTAAACTGGCTCCTCTCCACAGTCTCACATGGTTAAAATCAAGGCTTCATTCTTCACTGAAGGGTCTGGGAAAGAATTCCCTTTCGAGCTCATTCAGGTTGCTGGATGAATTCAACTCCTTGAAGTTGTAGGAGCAAGAATCCTGTTTCTTTGCTAGCTATTTGAATTCCTTCTCATTCTTTTCACGTGGTCTCTTCCAGCCATGGCAAGTTGAATCCTCCCATTCTTTGAATCCCTCTGGCTTTCTTCTGCCTTGAGCCCAAAAATAACTGTTTAAAGGCTTGTAGATTATGTGGGATCCATCTGGATAATCTAGGATAATCTATTTTAAGGACTATAAACTTAATTATATTTACCAAATCTCCTTTGTCATATAATAATATAATGATATATTCACAGACTCCAGGAATGAGGGCAAGGACCATTCTGCCTCCCAAAAGTAAATTATGAAATTCCTAACAATGGCTTCTGCTTATCTCTCAAGAACCTGTAGCTGATGAGCTTGGGCTGTTCTTCTACTTCTAGGACATTCACTTGGCCCGGAGACTATATGACAGGGCTGCTCAAACAAGTCCAGATGCTCACATACCTGTGTTCTTTGCCCTCATGAAACTGGAAACCGTGCATCTGCTCCGAGATGTCCTGTTCTTAAATGTAAGTTTGTCTCAAATGGGTCCTAAATCTGAAAACTCTAATGAGCAATTCTTAGGGACAAAGTGACGAGGCTCACCAGGGCAGTATTTTCTTTTTGGACTGGCTTTCCTTTGACAAGTAGAATTCAAAGTCTCATATTTACCGTGCAGAGCAATTCTACTTGTTATATTGAGTATGTGTTGGCACGTTGTAGTACAACCAATGAATTCATTTGACAGATTTTTTTCAGCACATACTATGCTCAAAGCATTAAGCAAAGTAACATGTGCTATATATACTTGTTCAAAACATAGCTTTTGCCATCAAAATCTAAGGCTGGTAAGCAGATGGCAGGTGGCAAGTGGTACCACAAAAAGCTATAATTTGAAATAAAAAGTAAAAATTAAATTGCATAAATCCTCGAGGTTATTCTAAAGGTGGAGGTTAAGCAGCCTGTGAGAGCTTCATGCCAGAAAAGATTGTCTCTTCCCAGACTAAAGAAAGCACGATGAGGGACAGGGTAGTAGTAGTGGTGTGGGAGGAGATGCTGGATGTGAGTGCAGTGGAAGGCTAGGATTTTTTTTTTTTTTGACTGAATGTCTCTTGCCAGCAGTTTACAATGAGATGGAAATGGATGAACTTGGACCACACCCTTGGACCACACTGGGATTTATTTGTGATTGGTTTAATTGTTGCCATGCTGATCTTCTTGCTTAGAAATCGTCATAGGTAGGCTCTGAATGATCAGAAAACCTACTCATGTGTTATTCCAAGCTACCCTCACTAAATAAATAATTTCCTCATCCAAATCAAGAGCCTGCTGCAGATTTCCCATATAGGCCTGTGACAGAAAGTGGACAAACCTTGAGACCTGACCAAGAGAAACAACTTCAGAAGCCAGGTGTGGTAGCATATACCTGTAATCCCAGCTACTTGGGTGACAAATGTGGGAGGATTATAGTCTGAGGCCAGGCTGGGAAAAAAAACCATGAGATCCTAACTCACAAAACACTGAAAGCAAAAAGGTATGGGGTGTGGTTCAAGTGACAAGTATAAGGCCCTGAGTTCA